CTACTCAAATCTGAGTTCTAAGTTCTAGAAGTGCCTAACATTGTGATTAAGAGACAAGTTGTTTTTAAAAATATATAGTTTATAGCTTTCAGTGAGGAAGGAAGATGGAGAGAGACAGAAACATCAATGATGAAAGAGAATAATTGATTCTCTTCCTACACTGGGTATTAAGCCTGGAACCTGGGCACATGCTGGACCTGGAATGGAACTGTGACCTCCTGGTTCATAGTTGACATTCAACCATTGAGCAACACCAACCAGGCAAGAGACAAATCCTAAAGTCAGAGTTCCAAGACTTGAATGGTATGACCTTCAACATACAATTTACTTTCCATATCAGTTTTATAATTAGTAAAATGGGGAGATAATAATATTGTCCATCAGATCAATGGAGAGTAACAATAAGGTTTAAGTAATAAACACATTTATTGCTTCATTTACCAGGAAGTCTAGAGGTGGTTCAGAAGGTTAACAGTCTCAGAAGAGACTCTTTGCATCTTTCTACTTGGATATCTTCTTTACACACACACACACACACACACACACACACACACACAGAGAAAGAGAGAGAGAAAGAGAGAGAGAGAGAGAGAGAGAGAGAGAGAGAGAGAGAGAGAAGAGAGAGAATTTCTCTGAAGCCCACAACTCCTTTAATCCATTGGCCAGATGAGGATCCCATAATACTTCCTAAACAAATCAAAGACAAAAGAGAAAAGGATTCTATAATAATTGGTTTAGGCCCATGGTTGGCAAACTCACTAGTCAACAGAGCCAAATATCAATAGTACGATTGAAATTTCTTTTGAGAGCCAAATTTTTTAAACTTAAACTTTTTCTAACGCCACTTCTTCAAAATAGACTCTTCCAGGCTATGGTATTTTGTGGAAGAGCCACACTCAAGGGGCCAAAGAGCCGCATGTGGCTCGAGAGCTGCAGTTGGCCGACCACCGGTTTAGGCCAATACATAGACCAGCACTTTTTAACTGGTGTGCAGCAAGAATTTTTAAAACATGCAATACCTGACTATTTAGGTAGAGGCATTGACCTCTTTCCCCTTAGATTGTCAAATAAAAAATGACAACAATAGCCATCTGGTGTGAATGCTTTGTTTTGAACTACACATATATAGGTTACATAATAGAGTTGCATTTTATTGGTCACGTCGTATACAGTTGTGTCTGATTGTTTAATTCTTGGTACCAGAAACCCTTATATACAAGGAGATGCACTTGGTTTTCTTAAAAGCCACTTTGGAGAAAAAAAAAAAAAGGTTATTATTATTTTTTAAATCAATCTAAATTATACCTATTTTTTTTTTTTTTTTTGGTCAGGTTGGTGTGCCACATAATTTCAGTACTTAGTTTATGCATGCCATGAGATGAACAAGGTTGAAAAGGAGGAAACACCTTCCCTATGTACCTTTGACACCTGACCCAAAGCAGGATTTGCTTACAAGAAAAAGAGGGTGGAAAGATGCAGTAGAACAGTAAGAGTTATGCTACTGAATGTCTGGGCAGTGCTTTGCTTAGTGCTCTGGCTTAGTGAGTGCTCAAGAAAGCTTGGCTTTGCCTACTCCCTGAGGCTGACATTCCAGAGGGCAATTCTGCTGCTCTCACAAAAAACAGACCTTTCTATTGTTTTGAAAGCAGAACAGAACATTGAATTTGATGGATCATAGGCCTGGCTTCCTGAATTTTGCTGTTCTTACATGTCCCTTTGCAAGGCAAATATCCCCACACTTTAAAAATGTTTCTTTCTTGGATCCTTAATCAAAGGTGTGGGAAATGAGGAAGTTGAACCAAGCTGCTTCAAGCCTCATCCTACATCTTGAAAGGGTTTATCTTGCAGTCATTCTAGATCAAATTGCATCCTCTTACTGGCAGAAGAAGTTCTTGCAGCCCCTGTTTGCCTGGAAGAAAAACACCATTGAGAATCACACAGCTTTAGCCTCCTTCTTACAATGCACATTCACAGCAACAGCTGGGAAGGATCAAGAATAATAGATGAATGACTCAGCCAGCTCTCCCCACAATGATGGTATGTAACAAATGACCCCACAGCTCAGTGTCATTCCACAATGAGTATTTATTGTCATGCTCATAAGTCTTCAGGGTTGGCTGGGTTCTGGCAGATCTAGGATAGGTTCTGTTGGATTTGTCTGCAAGCTGCAGGTCGGACCTAGGTCTGCATCATATCGCTCCCTGAGATATGTCTATGTCCCGGTAATGACAAGAAACCCAAGAAGGTAAGCTAAACCTCACAAGCATATTTCAAGCCTTTGCTCATGACACATTTGCTAACATCTCATTGGCCAAAGCAAGCCATATTGCCCAACATCAATGGAGTGGATAAACACACAGGATGTGTAGTTGAAAACTGCAAGGTCATATGGAAAAGGAACAGAGAACCATGATGCAATAAGCCCCCAGGAAGAGACTTAATCTGCCTTCTCATTTAGCTAGAGCCCTTTTCTAATCCTCCAAATTCCTTTTCTAGGGGGCACATCCCTTGTCTGTTTTGCCTTCCTAAGTCACTGTGGTGGCTAAAACCTATTTGACAAATAATCTTTTCAGAAGATAACTGAGAAGTTGTGGGGGAAAGAAAGATAGAAAGGAAAAGAGAAAAGAATACCTCTGGTAGGATCAGTTTTTAGAACGATGGGGAAGGCCAGGAACCCTGGAAGGAGAGCTTTGTTGCAGTCCTCTAAAATAAAGAAAAGATGTGAGAACGTGACAGGTGCCTTCTGTGAGGGAAGCCAATGCCACACGCTAGGTCTATGGGCAGTATACTCAGTTTTAAGTTTAGAGACATGTGACCGAATTAAACAAGTCGGTTCCTACAGAGATTCTTTGCAGCCTGTGGCTTACAAGGACAAGGCAAGGCCCCCAAAGGAGCAGGAGTCAGGGTTGTGCTCACTGAGCCATCCATGTAATTACCAGACAGTTGGTGATCAAGAAATGTTTTTTGAATGCATTAAAATATTTAATAGCCACTTTATCCATCAGCTTTTTGATAATATTTCGACGGAGTTGATAAACATTGGGTTTTAGAAGCCCCAGAGTAGAAGACAGGGATAACAAATACAAAAGAGAAAGGAATGTTTCTGTCATTCTTTCTTCGTTCATTTTGTTTCTTCTTTTTAAAAAATCAACTTTATTGAGATATAATTTACTTACAATAAAGTACATTATAGGCAGACAGCTCCATGAGTGTTGATACATAATAAAGATAATTTCAATCACCCTAAAAGTTCTCTGGTGCCATTTCGCAGGCAATCCCTGCTCACTCCTGGCCTCAGGCAACCATGGATGTACTTTAGTCAACATAGACAGGTTTGCCTATTTTAGAATTCTCCCAATGAAATCATGCAGTCTGTAGTTTATTTTGTCCAGCTTTCACTAGGTAGCATGTCCATTTTTTTTTTATTGCTGAATAGTATTCCATTGTTTGGGCATACCACAATTATTCATTCACCTGTTGATTGGTATTTGTGATTTCCAGTTCTGACTATTATGAGGAAAGCTATGAGCATTGCTGCAGAAGGCAGGATAAACATATGCTTTCATTTCTCTTGGATAAATGCTTAGGGATGGAAATTCTGGGTTTTATCATAAGTAAATGTTTAACTTTATAAGACACTGTTCTCCAAAGTGGCTTTATCATTTTATACCTTCTCCAGCAATGGATGGGATTTCCAGTTTCTCCACCTCCTCTCAAACAATGGTATTATTAGTCTTTTAAATTTTATCCATTCAGATGGGGTTATCCCCTTCTTTTAGAAAGAAAAGAAATGAGAAACGTTTGTTGAATGAGTGAAGACAAGCATTCATAGACCTATGTTCCTAAATGAGCAAGTTTCTCTCTCTCTCTCTCTCTCTCTCTCTCTCTCTCTCTCTTTCTCTCTCTCTCTCTCCTCTTCTCTCTCTCTCTCCCCTACAACACTTACACACACACACACACACACACACACACACACACACACACACACACACGATGATGGGGTCTTGTGTTTCCCTGGGAAATAAAACCATAGCTTCCCTGAGGACAGGCATACATCTCAAAGCAAAACTTAACCGCAAGCCAGGGCTTCAAAACCAGCTCGCTGCACACTCTCAGGGACGGAGAGGTTTCCCCAAAGAGCTCTCTCTCCAAAGCCTCTCAATTGCTCTCTTTTCTCCTGATAAATAATAATTGTCTTTTCAAAAAGAGGTTTTGCTGCTGGAGAGCTCCAGCTAGAGAGGAAAGCCTCGGTTTGCCTCTCCAATCCGTCACGAAGGCGCTCTTTCCCACTCCGTTTAGACCCAAAGACACTCGCAGGCTCCCGCTCAAGTTCCCCAGAAAACCCTAGGACCTTAGGGCTCCAGGTCACCCCCTGGGGCCCCAGCAACCAGGCCTGGGGCAGCTCCGGGTGCGTGCCTGAGGCGCGGGCTGTGGCTGCAGTGAGGCTCAGCGGCCGAAAGATGGCGCTGCGGCCCCGCTCCCCGCCGCCTGACCCTGCGCGCAAAGTTGTGCTGGAAGCCGCCGGGGGAAGGAGGGACCGAGCGCGCGCGGGTGGCGGGGAGGAGGGAGGAGGGAGGGGGGAGAGGAGCAGGGCGGTGGGGAGGAGGGGGGGCGCGGAGCGTGTGTCACTCGCTCTCCCTCTGTATATAGAGGATGTGCTGAATGGTGCGCTCGGAGGCGGCGGCGGCCGGGGAGCGGTATCCGGCGGCGGCTGGCAGCCCGCGCTGCCCGGCTCGGCTTCTCCTCGCCCTCGGAAGCTCCGCAGCCACCGCGGGCGCCCGACCCCGCGTCCCGCCCGGGGGCATGGCCGGCCGCCTGGCCCCCACGCGCCCCGCTTGCTGAGCGCGCCGGAGGAGGAGGTGCGGAGGCCGGGGGAGGCCGGGAGAGGCCGGCGCGGGGGGACCGAGTCCAGAGCCCCCGGAGCAGAGCGAGGAGCTCGCGCCCAGCGCCCCGTCCCTGCCGCGATCGCCCGGGGCCGCCCGGAGCCCCGATGCGCCCAGATGGCCGGGGCTCAGCCCGGGGTGCACGCTCTGCAACTCAAGCCCGTGTGTGTGTCCGACAGCCTCAAGAAGGGCACCAAATTCGTCAAGTGGGATGATGTAAGTGTATTGGGGGGATCGGGCTGGGGCGCCGGGCGAGGCGGAGGGGTGGGCGGGGTGGGGGTGGGGCGAGGGGCGCGTTATGCAATGGGCGCCCTGGGAGCCCGCGGGGGCGGCCTCGGGGGCACGGGGTGACGGCTGCTGGGGCGGGGAGCAAAGGGCAAGGGCTCTGCGCGCGCTCCTGGGATCCAGGGGCTCGGACTTGCCATCCTGAGTGGGTCTGGCAGGCACCCCAATGGAGCAGGAGGGGCACGCGTGGCCTTGTGGCGGGTCCTGAGAGTTTGGAAACTGGGCAGTGTGGAGTTGGGACCGACTGGGGAGCGCGGGTGCGTGAACCAGGCGCTCCCTTCTCCGCCCGCAGACGCACCGCGGGTGCCTCTCTGCCCTCCTGCAGTGAAGGACCGGCCTCGCCCTCCGAAACTAACTGTTCCGTGACTGCTGACCCTCCTGGCGCTTCCCTTCGAGCCCGCATGGCACGGGACACCGCGGCCCAGCCGACAGGTGGTCGCTGATGCCAACTTAAGCTCCTGGCTCCAGAGTGAGGGGCCTGGAAAGGGCCCGGGAAGGCGCACCTGGGCCGGGCTGGAGAGCAGAGGAGGGGCGCAGAGGGAGGGGTCCGGGAGGGATCACTGAGCCTCAGGGAGGGCCAGTTTTTGAGAACTGAACTGGCTGCAGTCCTTATCTTGAAACACATCTGTCAAGACACTCCCCTGCAGTTTACCTACATCTCTCACCAGGTTGGGCAGAGCTTAGCCGCAGCCTCCTTCCTGTCCGATCTGCAGTGTTTCCCATGAGCCCTGGACCCTAGGATTTCAAGTTTCCCCTCCCCACTCCCCCCCCCCCCCCCCCACACACACATACACACCTAATTGCTTTCAAATTTAATTTAAATTAAATTAATCTTGCTACAATCTTCAGGTGGAGGACTTTACAGGATCAAGTTGGTGTCCTGGGTGTCATTCAAGATGTTGGACAAGAACACAAATGTAGCTTCCGGGATCTAAGGACATTTAGGTCCCAATGACTGAGACATCTCTTTAAACAGGAAGAATGATAGGAGAACGAAGCGTGTTTTTTGTTGAAACGCTTTCCCACCTGGTAAATTATAGCCTGTTATCCTCCAGGGTGTTTTTCTTTAATCTTCTTAAACCATTTTTGCAGTGTCTGAAAACAGTTTAAATATTACAGGTAGCGCGTCCCATTACTTAGCAGAGTGGGTCTGTGTGTCTCTTTTGTCCAGTGGGAAGCGCAGATGGAACTTGGAGTCGGAGCCACAGCTTCCTTGAAAGCTCATGCCCATTGCTAACCTCTGGGTACCAAGATGTAAACATGCATCCTTCCACTGTGGGCTCGACACTTTTCTCTTTCTGGTCCAGCCTAATGAGCAGGTGTTTTGTAAATGGAATAGAATCCAAACAACAAGTTGAGTCTCAGAGTAAATGCTTGGTATGTGTCAGGGGAAGACAGCAAAAAAGAAAATTCAGTAACAACACGGTCTAGCCCATCTTGTGGTCTTCAAATAGAGAGTGAACGTGATGATGGATTTACTGGAAAAGAGAATAAAGGGCAGGAAGGAAGAAATAGGCAGTGCAGAGTAAAAAAGGTACTCCAGCTTCGTCTCAGGGATTTAGTCACGATGATCATTTTAAACTATATTTTAAATAATTCTCCAAAATGGTTTGTTTGGAAGAAAATATCCAGTGTCACTTTGAAAAGGAAGGTCTTCTATGGAAACATAGTTTGATAAATCCAGGGAGATTACTTTTATTATTTTCATTCCTGTCACATATGTCTGTTCTTCACCTACAGATGCTAGGCCCTGCGTTAGATTCTGGGAGTGGTGAGGAAAGTGAACAAAATCCCAGCTGATACAGACCTTACGTGCTAGGGAGAGGAGACAGAAAATGATCAACAACACCATTGATAAAGAGATGCAATGGGAGGGATGCAGTGAGTAATGGAGAGATCACTCGTCAAACACCACCTGACAGTGAGACCTCCCTCTGAGCAGCAGAATCTCTGATCTTGACTCTACCCAGGAGTCAAATGGTCTGGAATATGATGAATTATCCTGCACGTTTCTTGAATCTTGTTGGCCTCCATGGTGACCTTCGGACTGAGAGGGACCCAGGCTTTCCTAGATGGCCTGTATTCTCCTCAGGGGTCACCCCTCTCCTCTTCCCAATTCACATTTGCCCTTCTAGAACCAAGCCAGTTTAGGTGACCCAGGTAACTAGATTGTATTTTATTGAGTCTGTGTTGAAGACAAAAGAGAGTCCAAAGTCAGGTTCTTTTGTCAGTCGGCTGTGTGACTTTAGGTGCATCAGTTGACTTCTCTGAATCTTGGCTGCCTCTTGTGCAAACTGAGAATGCCACATTTCCTACCTATTTCGCCTACGGTAATAGTTGGGAGGAGCCCATAGGGTAAAGCAGCACTTCTAACACTTGAATGTGCATTGGAGACGTTGGGAGGGCTTGGTAAGAGTCAGATTGCTGAATCCCACCCTTTGTTTCTGATTCAGGAGGTCCGAGGTGGGACCCGGGGACCTGCTTTTCTCATTAGGTTTGAGTGAGGCTGCTGCTGCTGGCCTGAGGAACCACGCTCTGACACCACTGAGATAAGATTTGTGAAAGAATTTGAAAAGTGCCATGCACAGCGCAAGGTTGTTGGCCCATGTACATTTTTGCTGGTTTGGGAATTTTATTTTATCTGTGTGTGCATTTTGAGGAAGTTATCCAGTTGCTGCCTGAGAGGTAGAAAGACCTCAGTGACATAATCCTGGACAATCCTATCTCTGATGCTCAGGCTGGCTCACTTCACCTTTATACATTTCTTTTGAATTTTTTATGTGCGATGAAAAATTTTCAGCATTTTCACCTGCCTCTGGTGGGGGTGTAAGAAAGGGAAAGAAAAGAAGATTTTTGAGAGGCTGTCTAGTCTGATTTTCTGTCTGGTACAGGGGAGGCCTTTTGACCCTGACTTTGGGAAAATACCTGTTACCAGGGGAATCTCTACACCTGCTTGTCTAGAAGAGAAGTAAATGCTGGAAATAGCTTTAAAAATTCTCAAATATCTCATCTCACTTAAAAATGTAGAATCCTGCTCTCTGGTCTTTAACACGAAGGCTGGGCAAACTCATAAAGCAGATTCTCCATAATCCATTAGAAAGCCTAATGGTACATTTGAACATGATGAGTTTGGGGCTATTTACTATTGTAAAGAGATTATCTCTTGTTCCTTGGGTGATTAAAGCACTATAATTACCAGTCCCCTTGTCCTGATGGAATGAAAGATGTCACCCAGACTTGCAATGCCCTGAATAATCTGTTGGCTATCTACCAATGTCACGGTGAGGCTCTGGACTCTAAGCATGGTAGTCAAAAGCATTGCCATGGGAACTAGCCCATCACAACAAACAGTAGGTGGGTGATGGAGCTGGAGCAGGGTTCTGAAGATACCCTGTTGCACCATTGACAGGCATTAGCTTTGTTTTTGCCTGATTCATGGAGAGGTCCGGGGCCCCTCAGCTTCTTGAGGCATATGGAAGTATTTCAGTGTCTGAATAGCAAGGCCAAACCTATCCAGAACTTGGTCAGCTGATAAAGGCCTGAGCTATCATGGCTACCTGTTTCCCTGATGATTTCCAAGGTCCACTTGATTCTTGCTTTTATTTTGCATTTGCATATTATTAAGCTCTGGTGGTCGGAGGTGTGTGTAAAGGTCCGTGACCATTATGGGAGATGGACAGTGGAAGGGCTTATTTTCTCCAACTCAGTTTCGGGAGCTTGGGAGATTGGGAGTGTGGCCCCCTCTCACTCCTGGTGTTTGGCCTTGCTCTGCATTGGAAAGGACGTAGAGGGCAAGAGGAAGGACAGAAACTGTATAGTAGGACACCCAACACCTGATTTGCCCTGTTTAACATCTGAGAACGCTGTCTCTTTGTTCTACAACCTCTGGAGCTTGGAAGGCTTCTCCTCTGTTTGTTCTTTGTTTTTCTCTACTCTGACACTCCAAATTCAGATCTCACTGTGGTAAGTTACTAAATGAATGGCAGCCTCGCTTTCCTCATCTGTAATGCGAGCATTGTACTATTTCCTGCTGCACAAAACAGCTGTTAAGGTCAAGTGAGGGAAGGCTTACGCATTGCTTTGTCTAATGTCTGACATACAGGAAGCCCTCAATAAAACACGTTTTAAGACGTTATTGTCTCCCCTGTAGATACAGGGCCATGAGTTTTATCTCAAAGTGGTCAGCATGTGTTAGACAACTCTTCTGTAAGTAGGAGATCCAGACCTTCCATTTCCTTTAAGGTATGCATGATTTTCATATTTTGTATTTAAAAAAGAACAGTTCCTTCTTCTTCTTTTTTTTTTTGTTTTTTTTTTGTTTTAAATCCAGGTGTTTGAGAGAAAAATGAATCCCAAATAAAAAGCAAGTCAGTTTACAAAGCATCAAAAAGTTTTATTTCCACTTAATAAAACTATATATATATATATATATATATATATATATACATACATATATATATACATACACACACACACACACAAACACACACAGTAAGTACACAAGTATGATTCCTGGAAGGACGAAACAATTAAAGAAAACTCTTTCAATTTAGCAAGAATTAATATATACATTAATCTTACATCGTACAACCTGCCTTGCAAGCATAATCTAACATTCAAAACCTAATTGCTAGCCTGGCTCATTTGCATTGATGCCCTGTGGATTTAAAACAAGTATCTCCCTCCTCCCTCTCATGCACTCCCCATTCCCACTGCCCCACAGCTAAAACAGGTGATAGTAATACTAAAAGCACGCTAATCTAGTGCACATTTCCCAGAACCCTACACAAAAGCATTCTTAGAACGTTTGTATTGCATAGAACTTGCAGTTACGGCTTCCAAAATGATGATGACAAGATTGCTGAGGAGGCAGAGGAGAAGGGTTTATGAGGTGGGCATTCAGCAGTGTTCGCTTTGAAAAGGTTTTGGGA